CCCAGAATTCCTCAGCCAGCAAAGCTGGCTGAGGAATTCTGGGAGTTGAAGTCCACAAGTCTTAAAGTTGCCAAGGTTGGACACCCCTGCCATAGAGTATTTTGCTTCTGTTCCTGCCCTGGCTCTGAGGCTGATTTGCAATTTGCTTCCTTGGAGCTCCATGGAACTAGGAGACAGGGTTGTTTCCAGAATTGCAGGAACTTTTACCTCACCTCGCCTGTCCTCACTTGAACTTGGTGCTTATCTAGTCAATTTCATAGTAAACCAAATCAGCAAACCTGATCTTCTAGTCAGTTTCTAAATTCCTGCAAAAACTGGCAGTTTTATTTTCACTGCTTGTATAAAGAGTATTCCAGTATACTCGCCCCATCTCACTCACAATCCAACATCTGATTTCAGGGAGACCCCACATAACTGTACAATTAAAGATCCTACCCTACCATGGCTGTAACTAGTGGAAAAATCCCTGGCCGTCAGCTAGAACTTATATGGGGCCATCAGCTTTCAGGCAAAAAGGAGGCATTTGGATAGCCAGAAAAGAGAATATTTGTAGCTCAGGGTTGAACTCTGGGTTCCTTGGTGCTCTCTGAGCTTGATGGTTTTCTTGCAGATGTTTCGTTACCAAACTAGATATAACCTCATCAGTACTAGAAGGGAGTGGAGTTTGATCTTATTTCTATATACTAGTGGCTTACCCTGTCAGAGTTGACCAGTTGCTTCACAAAAAGTGTTTTGATTGGTGCCGGGTCTCTACAGCCTCAGGCAGAGAAGGGCTATTCTGCATCCCTCCCTCAAATGTTCTTTAAAATACAGTTTTCCAGCATTCCTTTAGGAACCTCCAACAAGCAAACTGTGTTTAGTCATCCTAAAAGGAATCCTCTTTTTACTTGGAGCTTCAAAATTTGCTGTTTGCTGGGAAGGTGTGTAGCTAAAAGTCAGTCTACGTTTAATGTACATCTGACTTTGGGGATATTTCTTCCTAACGAAACAAAACTTCATTTTCTGTGCAGTTCACACCCCTTGCTTGCTGGATATGGATGTCACAAAGCAAAGCCCATGTTTTGTAATTAACCCCCACACCCCATTTTGGCTGGCAGAGTGCTGCAGGACCCTGGCCATGCCCACACAGCCACAGCCACCCATCCGGTCATTAGGGCAGAAAACCAGTTGTTACATTATTTGAATCCCACCACTGAGCTTGTCTATAACAAGTGAAATATAAATTGATATAGAAATGCCAACAACATGTATTAGAAACATGGAAGAGAGGAGCTAGCAAGAGTGATATTTTACTTTTCTAAGTGGGACAGAAGTGAGGGCAGTTTTCTTACTCTAGGAGCTACCATAGCTTGGAAGAGAGCGCACTGACTGGCAATTTTTACATTGGTCTACTTGTTATTCAAAAGCTAGCAAGATTGAAAAGTACCATAAGTGTTGTGGCTCTGGGTTTGGATTCTGCTCCTGTGGCAGATATGAATTCAAGTGATGAGGACATGGCAGCAAAATATGAGCCGGCATTGCTTAGTGATTGGGATAGTAACCAGGATGAGGAGATGGATGTAACAAGGGAAGATAGACCTGAAGTAATAGAGTTGTCAGGACCTTCGACCTCCTCTGGTTCTTTATCTGATCAGCAGCCGGGAATGCCTGACAGGGAAGGCATGAGAGAGTTTTCCAGTGGAGATGAAAATTTGGAGAACTTATGGTTAGACGTCAGAAACAGAAGGAGGCTGAGAAGACAAACTCAGTTAGAAAGGAAGCGTCGAGCTAGTCATTAATTAGGGAAATTAGCACGCTTCATAAGTGAATAAAAGGACACGGCTGGGCTGGTGGAATTCGCCAGAAGCAAAGTGACTAATTGGGAGTGAAGACATGCAGCAAACTCTCTGAGGCTTGTGATTTACTGCCACGCCAGGATTGCCGGACAGAGTGTGGATTTATTGCTGTGTATTGGAATTTACTCCAGCCGTTCTCTTGTGGGGGTTTGTTTTTTATTTGAACTAATTCTGAAACGGCTGCTTTTTGTTTTGCTCGCCTGCAATTAAAGGGGAGACATAACACATAAGATTGGTTTCAAAATGCTTTGGTGGTTTAGGAATAGAAATGGCGCTATCTTGAAGAGCCCTACTGTATATCCTTCCTTCTTTCCTTGCAGTTCTCAGTCTAATCTGAAGTGGGAAAATGGATAAGAATGAATTAACATTGAAGGTTACAAAGTTATGCATTGGGATTTGCTGCTAAGGAGACATTCCCCTGTTGCATTGTACAGGTGGTCCTTGACTTATAACAGTTCAGTTAGTGACCGTTTGAAGTTACAATGGCACTGAAAAAATGACTTATGGCCGTTCTTCAACTTATGACCATTGCATGGTCACGTGATTTACATTTGGATGCTTGACAACTGACTCACATTTATGACAGTTGCAGTGTCCCAGAATCATGTGGCCCCTTTTTGTGACCTTCTGAGCAAAGCAAAGTCAATAGGGAAACCAGATCCCCTTAACAATTGTTATTAATTTAAGAACTGCACTGATTCTCTTAATAAATGTGGCAAGAAAAGTTGTAAAATGGGGGAAAACTCACTTAACAAATTCCTCACTTAACAGCATAAATTTTGGGCTCATCTGTGGTCATAAGTTGAGGACTGTCTATATACACTTTCTTCATATTGAAAAAGAAAATTGTCTTCATTATAGATGGAGCTTTAGAAAAAAAATGTAGATTTAACTTGAATCAATTTCATAAAATTATAGCCAAAATCATGGCCAGTTTATTATATGGCCTATTCTAGAAGTATAAAACTGTACATGTCTGTAAGTTTATATTTATATCTAGCAAATAAAGCACTCCTAACATGTATACTGATTCCTCCATTTATTTCAGAGATTTATTTCAGAGATTTATTTCATTTATTTCAGAGTTTTACATGTCACTCATGGAAGGAACCTTAGCTTTCCTTCTAATCTGAATTAAATGGGGAACTTTTATGGACAGGAGGGGATCCATAGGTTGTGTGTAAGATCCTCATATCAAAAGCTGATCCTTAGCTGGGAAATAATAAACAACTGGACACCTTTAGTTGTTTATTTTTGAAGTATCTTTCAGTGCATTTAGCTATTAAATTTCAGCATTTATTTTCCAATCAACAAATATTATGTTTTTCATGCATATCTTCTTATTTAACTTTGGGACTGTTCTTATTTCCTCTCCAGGGTATTTAAAATTGATGAACTTAAAACTGAAGTATTTAATCAACTGGCAATGCTGGAGAAGAGAGTGGAACGTAAGTTTTTTTTTTTTCTACTAGTGTAACAGAATAGAAACTTTATTGGTTTAATCATCTGACCATATTAAAAATATAAAACCAATACAAGTATATGTAAGTATATTTTAAAAAATAGTAAGACATATTCCTGATAAATTGTCACCCTATAATTAACCCCAATCTGATCTAAATAATCTGTCCTCTCCAAAATGGCCTTGAATATAAAGTCTGTGATCTTATTAGTGATACACATGTTCATTCCCTGCAGAAAGTAACATAGTTGCTCCTGGGTGCCCCAATATTTTTTGTTGTTGTCAAATACTCTAAATAACCAGTCCCTTCTGCAGAATACAGTTTGCAATCAATGAGGATATGTGCAATGTCTTTAATTGCTGCTGCACCACAAATACACTGTTTCTCTCCAGACCGAGTTCCATAAAATCTCCCATATCTTATCATGAAATCAGGTTGTTCAAAATGAACATGAGGGCACATATTATGCAAATGTTCTTCAAAACCAAGCTTGAATTTTTCTCTAACAAGCTGAAGCTAGAATAAATTTGTATTAGTGTGAGATTTTAATCTTTTTATGATCATACAGTACCTAGTGCCTTCTTTTTGGCAGGGTAAAATATAGTATTGAATAAAAAGAAGAGGGGAAAACAACCTTTCAAGTCTAAAATTCTTCTTTCTCATCTCACATCATTTGCACAGAAATGTAGTATAAAATCTTTAATCCTGTACAGTAAGTCTATATTCTGCTAAATAACCTGAGAAGATGCTGAGCTGGACTGCAGTTCTAGGTACGATCCTTCCGTTGTGATTCTTTCTCTGAAAAGCAAGATGAAAGCCATGTTCAAAGATGTTCTGAGTACTGTCTAAGTTCAGTGGCAATTTTGCTGAGAAAAAAAACTGCAATATTCTAAGGTCCTAAGAAAACCTTTTTATTGGATCCTAGAAGTGCAAAATTAGGCATATTTAAAATTCAGCTCTTTGGGTGGGAGGTATATTGAACTTGACTAGGCTGAGCCCCAGGAAAGGGTCAAACTTGTCATCAAACTTGAGTCCCTTTGTGCCCACAAGAGATCCAAGTACAGCCCACCTTGAATTCCATTGACTCTTATCTATTGCCAATTTGTTTTGACAGTAGTTCAGATTCTTGTAGAGAGCTTTTGTGTACAATAAACCTATAAATTCACTTGAACTGCCTGGACTCCTGATTTCCTGCACTTGACACATATTTTTTAAAGCTAAAAAAGAAGTGGTACCACAAATTCACATTATCTAATAGCTTTCTTTGTTAAGACCCTTATGTAGTAAATACTTTTTGATTGATTATGTACCATCAGAAATTCAATTATTATACTTTAAATGATAATTTTGAGTAATGGAATTTTTTTATCACTTTCACAATCTACATATAATAAAGGTTTGTGTGTACAAATCACTGCCTTGTAAAAATAAAATTATCAGAATTTGGTGAAAAACAAGGTTCTGATAGGAGGATTTTTCCTTTAAACACTCAAATTCATATGCAAATAGTATGACAGAGAATTACAATCATATGAAATGGTATTCAGGAATGCATTTCATTACATTAAATTCATTAAAATTATTGTTGAAACAGACAAATGTATAGTGACCCAAAGGACTGAAACTTTCTGTCTTAAATAGCTTCACTGATTTCAATTAATTGATTTTCTTTATGAGTTTTCATATACTGTAAGTTTTTGCACAAATGAAATTTGGAGCCTCTAGCATTTCCATGTAGTGACATGGAAACACAATGTGTTCAAATTACTGCTGAGGAGTCTTAGTTCAATGTACGTTCACATCCTGTTTATCCCCAAGTGAGAATCTGAAATCTCTAGTTTATATATGTCTTTGAGACACATGAGTGGCCATTGATAAGTGAGAAGAGGCCCTGCCTCTCTGCAGAGACTGAAGTATTTGAAAACTACTAAAAATAAAGATTGTTCCAGTTGCTTGCCGAGGTTTGTTGCCAGTGCTGCCCAGCAGGAAACATGCATGCTGGTGTGATGAATGTCCTAGTCAGGCTGAGAATTTATGGCTGAGCAGTTCATAAACATTATAATGCCAGTGTAAAGGTAGTTCCAGCATATGGGAAGATCATTACAGGAAAACTGCCTCATAAAGTGATTCTGTACCAAGAATATCTTGGTTCTATCTATCCTCCTAATGTGCTAGTTAGAACACCAGGCTAAGAAAAAGTTGGTTCAGGGTTTAGTGTCACAGCTGGTGTTTCTATATAAAGAAATATCATGGAACCATTTTTTTTTCATTTAACATGCTGCTAATTGGAAACCCAATGAAATATTGTCACTATATAGTGCTTTGTATTAATATAGTATATAGTAGTGCCACAGCTTGCTGCTTTCATTTATTCCTATTCTAAGAAATAGTCCAGGGAAGCTGAAGAATGGCTGGATGTTGTTGCTGTGGCTCACAATAGTGATGTAGCTGCTTTTCTGCTACTTCTAATGTTGCTCTTAGTATTGTATTATTTGAATGATTGATTCTATTAGCAGCACCTGCCCATTGAGAAATAGGTTTCAGGTTGAGGGGCTGCTGAATCACTGGCACACTGTTTGGTAGCTTTTGAAATTCTGCTCAATTACTACTTCTCCATGGTAACCCTCCTGTTGTTTTACTTTGTTGACAGTGGAGGGACTGAAAATAGTGGAAATTGAAAAGTGTAAGAGTGACATTAAAAAGATGAGGGATGAAATGACTGCAAGAAGTACCAGGTAAGCTTTGTATTTTGTTCTTGTGAAGAAAGACACTTCTGAATAACCACTTCTGCATTGCGGAAATTTTGAAGATTTATTTAGAAGCCAATCTAGAGATAGCCAGGATAGAGTGTGATGGTCAGTTTAGTCTTGGACATGGAGAGTCAGGGTCAAGTCTCCATTCAGTTATGGAAACCCCAAGGTGGCTTGGTCATTCACTGCCCAATCTACTTCACAGGTTTATTGTTGGACCAAAATTAGAGAAGAAGGCTAACTTGTGCTCTCAGAGAAAAGGTGGAATATAAATACAGTAAATAAATAAATAAATCAGTATTAAATTAATGTTCCCTAGAGCTCTGGGGGAGTGGTAGGATATAAATCTAATGAATCAATAAAAATTGATAAAATCCAGCATGTTTTTAAAATTTATTTAAGTAAATTATATGGCTACCCATCATTTAATAGGGACTGTGCAGCATGTAAGATTAAAATCAAGAGTGGGGCTTGCTTCCAGGTCAATGTGCATAGGACTGCCATCTAATAAACTAAATAATGTCTCATTTTCAATGGTCATTATTCACAAATTATGAAGCTTCTTGGTGTTTTTTTTTATATCAGCATGGATAAAAGGACAAGATTCACTAGTTTTGTTTAAGAATATATGGCCACTTAATAGTTAACGAGTAACTGGAAAAATAATTCTTGGAAAGATTAACATCTTGGTTTCCCTCTAAGCCATCCGGTAATAAAGACTCGTGCCCTTGGTTTTATGCAGAGAACAAAAAAAAAAATCGGCCAAGAAAAACATTAGTTTGGTAACAGACTTACAAGAAGGAGACCTGCTCTGATACAAAATGTAATCTGAGAAAACATCACAATATATATACAGTAACTCCACTTGCACTATGAGAGAATGTGCGTGTTATATTTTAACCCCCCAAATGAGTTATTTCCTTTTTACGGAAGAAGCCAGTCAACTAATCTGATATATTACCAGGTTTGGAATTGTAATGAAAACAACAGCAGAAGCACCCATTGCTTGCTATGGCGGACTTCATGAATTTAAAAACATCAGGCTGTTCTGTAGCCACCATTCCTCATACAACAAGCACATAAGCAGCTAAACAGATATTTAAAATTATTATGGAAGGAGATGAACAGGAAATTGTTCTGAATCTTAGTCAAAAATGTTGTGTGTCAAATGCAGACTGACTTATATATCATAACCTGGGGTGTGGGGGGGTTGAGGGGTGAGGGGCGAGGGAAATATTAAATTACACTATTATCAATTGTGAAAAATTATGTCAAGATGTGAGACTTTGTACTATATTTAAGTGTGTTTCAGTTAATATTTGTGTTTCTTTGCACAGAATTTTACAATTCACTAAAGACAACATTTGTAGAGTTCTTCTGAACAAAATATTTTAAGGATTTCCTCTTTGTAACCCCCCCCCAAAAAACTTTTCTTTCTACTTGTATCAATTCACTGCCATTTGTCTTATTGGAAAATGCATATACTCTAAGAATGAAATTGAACCTTAATATCTTTAACAAAAGTTAAACCACTCAGCTAGGTCACAGTTCTAAAATCTACTGGCTACATCACCAGTGTCTTTCAAGGTTTCGTTCTGTGCTCTTTCTTTTAATTACATTTAATTTGTCAGCACAGGAATATATTTCTTAGGCCATGAAAAATAGCAAGTATTCAAACCCACAAAGCCCCTATTTGCTTACTCTTGTAATACTCTTTCTTTGTTCTCTCCTTCTTTTTCCATGCTGGGATACATGATGTGATGACCCGTAGTCTCTCAAAATAACCCAAAACCCAAAACATATATTAAAGTCCGGTAAGGCCTTCAACTTAACTTCACTGTTTTATTAGGCACAGTTTAAAGTCACAAAAGTAAATGATGAGGCAAACAGAAAATGAAAACAAACTGCATTGATGAGAGTTCTGAAGCAAGTCAAGATAACTAATCATAAACTCCAGGAAAATAACCGAGAAAAGTCCATGGGAAGAACACCAGCAAAGATAAACCTCTTTCAAGGTGAACACTAAATTGACTCCTGCAAATTCTAACTGCGCAGTTGCAAACTTATATACATAGCTCCCACCTGCAAGCCACGAGGAAGATCATGGTAATCTCCTCTTGAGTAGACCTCGCTTTTCCCTGATCCTCTCCTCCCTGCGTGACCTAGGATGGATAGGGGATGGGCCTGGATCCTCCTCTGACTGCTCAGCTGGCCTCTGCCCTTCCTCAGCCTCCTCCACCATCTCTGGAGCCACACTCCCACTCCCTGTTGGCTGTTCCTCCTCTTCCTCAGAGTCAGTCTCCACCAGGGGCATGACACATGATAGCTTGCCTTTTTGGATTTTACATTGCCCATGAAACTAGTTTGTGGAATTTGCAAAGAGACTTTTCTGAACACTGTTATGTTCATTGTTGTTTTTTCCTTCCATTGTAATACATCAGCTATATTTTCCTTCTCTTGCACACACACATTCATTCCTGCAAAGACTGTACTCTTGGTGCAATTTCAAAAGCTGTATTATATAGCAATCGCCTCCAACCTTTTGGGCACCAGAGGGACCTGTTTTGTGGAGAAAGGTTTTTTAGCAGACCAGAGAAGGTGTGGTTTTGCATGCTTCTTGCATCCTGCAGGTGGGGCTTCACTTGTTTGCGTGACCTGGTTGCTGGCATGCCATGGCTCAGTGCTGGTCCACAGATTGGGGCTTGTGGACCTCTGTTATATAGCATCCACAGCCATCTCAGTTTAAACAGGTAGCTTTTGTATTAGCATCTGAATCTGGTTCTTCAGAACAAACTTAGATCATTGCTATGAATCATTCATATTCATTTCATAAAAACATCATTTGTGTGTGCATATGCACATTCATATGTACGTTGTCCTGAAAAGAGATACTTATTGAATAAAATGACAGTGTTTCATGCTTCCAAGGCAACATGATTTGATATTTTTCTGCAGTGATATTTACCATTTGGGGTAACTAATATTATGCAATGTACAAAAGAGAAGTAAAAAAAATAGTAAGCAAAACAATTTGAACGCACAAAAAAAGGAAAAAAGAAAGCCTAAAGTAACTAAAAATAGCATATACCATTACCATCCTCCAAATGTCTCCATACCATTTGGTTTTTGCAAACCATCCTTGCTCCTCCCACTTCACTACATCACAATCATACTTTGCATTTTGTGCTTTAGCTTTTTACAACATTTAAAAGTTTTTAAAGTTTTAATCCACTCAATCAAACCAAAATTTCTTCTTCTCCTACCACTTGGTCCATTCAGTCTTCATGCATATGTATTTGTTTTGCAACTCCATCTTCATTACTTCATACATAATGTTGGACCATTTGCTAACCTTTCTATTTATTTTTATGCACACTTTTCAACTCCATGTTTGTTTATTCATTGAATTTATATATGCTGCCTCTCTCATTATCTCAACTGATTCTCTGTGGCTTATAGTAGTATGAAAACATAGATCTAAAAATATTAAAAGCATGAAAATTAATATTAACAAGAACTAAACAAATAAAAGATTAAAACCAGGAGCACGGATTGTTACAGGAGTTGACATTTGATTCTCACTCAGTCAAACACCTCCAATGCTTATGCAAAACATTCTATAACATAGGCCTGTTCACTAGTACATATTTTTTTCAGACTCAATAAATATACAATAAACTTCTTTTCCCATATCCATACAGTGATCTAATGAAAAGCAAAACAACCACTGTATACAACAGACCTACAGGTCTTCCAACCATAGGAAATATGCTACTTCTACAGCTGGAGACATCCAGTCCCACTTCATAGGTTGCATTCCATAGGTGACTCTCTATAAAGTCCCCCAAATCCACCTCCTGCTTTGTCAGCCTTTTGAATGAAGTTCTCCCACATTTCCAATGTGCTTCCTTCTTGGATTTATGGGCAATATGTCTTTGCTAATTTACTGTATATACTCGAGTATAAGCCTAGTTTTTCAGCCCAATTTTTGTGCTGAAAAAATCCCCCTCGGCTTATACTCGAGTCAGATTCCCCTCTGAAAAAAAAAATGGTGTGGAGTCGCGGCTTCCGGCGGCAGCGACTCCCAACAGCCCCAGCTGGGAAGGGAAAGGCAAAAAGCGCTTTGCCTTTCCCTTCCCGAGGCGGCGGGACTGGGGCCGCGCCGGCGGTAGTGACTCCTGACTCAGGGGGCCTCCGAGGGAGGGGAAGAGAGTGACTCCTGCCTCCCGCTGTCATCATCATCTTCTTCTTTTGGGTTAGTGAATCAATTAAACCTTTCATGATAGTGAGATCGTTTCCCAAATTAATTATTTTTATTTTTGAAATTTACCAGTAGCTGCTGCATTTCCCACCCTCGGCTTATACTCGAGTCAATAAGTTTTCCCAGTTTTTTTGTGTAAAATTAGGTGCCTCGGCTTATATTCGGGTCGGCTTATACTCGAGTATATACGGTAACTACTTGCCAGGCCCTTGTCTCCCAATTCCCTTTGACCCAGAAAAGCAGCCTAAACCATTAGGATTTACTGAGATAATACACTGCTGAACTCAGTCAGGATTGGGCCATACTTTACAAAAATAGGGAATAAATGGGCTCCCCCCCCCTTTTTTTTTTCTTTTGCAGAAAGAGAAGGAGATGTTTGTTACTTGACAGTACAGAGGAAGCTCCATGGCAAATGGGAAGCCAATGGGAAGTAGAGAAGAGCAGGCACTTATTGGCAGTATTCTCAACATTTAGCTATGGAAAGGGCAAAACCCAAGGACAGGATTGGTCCTTTCAACAGTGCCTCACTACTATATCCACTCCTCCCTCCCTCCCTCTCTGTCTCTGTCTCTTTGAAATCCCTGAAAACAGTGAGTCAGAATGCAAACTCCACTGCAGTTTAGGACATGATTGAGTTGCAAATGGCTGTGCGATCAGCTACCAAGGAATGCAAATTGACCTGAGGATTAAAAGAAGTTAGTTTGCAAATGAAATAGATTGTCCTGTGGTAGAATCCTCCATATCAGCTGCCACACATTTAAATAGAGAGATAAAAGAAGTTCTTATTTATCAAGCAAATTTAACAACCATCCAAAGATGTGCACAGCATTGTTTAATTTCTGTTGCTGTTTGGGTATACATTTTTCCTCATAGCAATATAAGACGCAGAGCACAAGGAAGAAACTGAATGTGCCCTTTTCTTACTAGCTTTGCAAGTGTTTTTATTATATCATTTACTATTCTTTATATTTCAGACTTATTTAGATACTGAGTTTATTTATCTTTTGAATAAAACCAGGATATCTATCTGTTCTTCATTCATCTCATTTCTATCTGGCCTTTGATCCTGGAGCTCAATGGATATAAAGAGTATTCCCTCATCAGTTTTTTCGCAATAATCCTGTGAGAGACATTGGCAGCTGAGATTGGCCCAAAGTCACTTACTGAGTTTATGTAGCTAAGGGTGGATTGAATTCAGGTATCTTGGTTCTAGTTTAACAACTCAGTTGTTTGCCATTGTGCTGTAATAATAAGTAGAAGAATGGAACTAAGTTTTATTTTATACCACGGCTGAATGTGGTTCATGAAACCTGCACCCTAAAGATTTAAAAGGCACTTTCATGTTTGGCAAACATATCTTCAAATGCTACATTTCTTTTCAAATCTCTTGGGGTATTATGTTATTCATAGGAAAGCAATTTGGTTTGTCTGCTGTGAAAAGGGAGAAATTAATTTTGCAGGAGTTAATCTTTAGAATCAACAACATTTTGATTGTGTCCAATGAGTTTAAATGAAATTATTTTTGTATCATTTATTTACACATTTTCTTTAGATACTGAATGTTGGATTTTGTTTTCTGCACAGGACCAACTACCCTTATAAATACAGTTTCCCGGATGAAAACAACAAGCTAATACCCCGAAGGGATGTTCCCTCTTATCCTAAGGTATAATGTTACGTAGATACATTCAGAGTATCTTTAGACAGAGCTGATCATCACAATAACTAAAATTATTATTGGCATCTTTTGCTTTCCATCAAATAATGCCCAGGAGGTTATTATATGCAGGAAGGAAGATTCAGGATCATTATGCTTAAAATCACTGCCCCAAACCAGTCTTCTTACAAATCACTACAGTAGACATCATCTGGGAAAGAGCTGACAGATGTGACTTTAGATGTAATAGCTCATAATATTTTTTGCTTTAAGATTTCTTTAAAGACAGTAGCAGGACGTGTGTGTGTGTATGTGTGTGTGTGTGTGTGTGTGTGCGTGTGAATGTCGGTCTCCTGAACCCCATGCTTTTGGCTCCATTGGTCATTATGCTTCTAAAATTTGGTGTCAAACCGCTCATATTCCTATGTCATTTTTCATGTTTCAGATACAAAATATGTACCAAGTTTGGACCCAAAACTTGTTCAAACTGAAAAAAAGGGAAGAGAAGGCAAACCTTTTCCACAGTACAGCATCACTTTATTGTCCATGATTCTTGCAGCCCTCAACTATGTTTTCTTTAATAGCTGAAAATATGGTCATAGGCTGCAAAAGATTGCACATCCCAAGTAGATTTATGAATTTGCTATCATCAACATACTTCTGGAATATAATAAATATGTATAATATATAATGTATCATCAATATTGATTCATTTTCCTTGAAAATCTTACTTGCAATTTGTGAATTATTTTAACATTCCTTTAAATATTCCCACTAACAGTTCTGCGAATGGATGCTCTGATAAGTGCTAACACTACCACATTTTCTTGGTCTCCACTGTATGAGTGAGGGTCTTTCACCAGTCCTGAGCCTTATTCATTCTTGGTGCAGCAGAAATCCTTACCAGTATGAAAAAAATCATGTCCCATTATTGATATTTTCCTGCCACTGTTTCAAGCCCCTGCAGGCATCTAACTCTCCTCCAGAGTAATTAATGATGAACCTAACAGGCTTTATGCACCTTGAAGCAGGATTTGTTTATATCAGAATTGGAGGGAAACACTACTGTGACATATGTGTAGCTAAAGACAACTTAATGCTGTCTCACTTAAGAGCTGGGGATCAGATAAAGGTAACATCTCAAGCAGAAAAAATAGGCTGCAAGGACATGTTCCTGTTGTGGTTGCAAATGGGAAAAGGCCCATACTTTTTGTGTTTGGGTGGGTGGGTAGATAGATAGATGGATGTTTTGAGAAGATACCTGATATTTGAAAACAAGCATTTAGCTTAGAAAAAACTGAAGCTGAACCATCCAATTTACTGATTTAAAGATAAACAATATATATTCATAATAAAAGCTTGTTTTTCTCTCCAGTACATGCTTTCTCAGGAGACAATAGGAGCTCTTAGGAAACCAACTTTTGATGTCTGGCTGTGGGAACCCAATGAGGTAATGCAGCACTTCGGAAACAAATTCATGACCTCTCATCCTGTAAGGTTATTTTGTGGCTTTGTTCATGATTGCTTGAGGACTGGGACCTTGAACTTAGTATCATCCAGGAACTGCTCTGAAAATATACAGACAGAGTTCAGTGTCTAAAAGGACTGATTCTATATATAGAGATAGAGTGGAAAAACAAAAGAAATTTCAGCAAAGCAGTTATAATTACAGGATTTCACAAGAGTAGAAGGCAGCAATAGATCACGGACAGAGCTAATGATAGTTTAGCTCTGTCCTTGGTACAGGAAAGTAGAACTAGCTCATTCTCACAGATGGTTGTTGATCTGCCCTTTAAGGTTTTCAGTGAGGCAGAATTTATCTTGGTAACAGCTGCATTTGCAAGCTGCTCTTAGTATTAAGAAACCTCTCATCATGTTCAGCTGCAATCTGTCTTCCTGCAGACCCAGTCAGTTTAGGGCCTAGGCCTTCCCTTGAGGACAGCAGAGAGCAAGACTTTGTCTCTTTCGGTGAGAAAATTCTTCAGGTCTTAAAAAAGGCACTGCTTTCTCATTCAATCCTGCTACCAATTTAGCCATGACCATTTTCCTTTAACATCTTCTCACAATATCATTCTAAAATACCTTTGCCCATCTTTTATATCAGGGGTGTCAAGCTGGCGGCTCCTAGGCTGGATGCATGTGCAGGCCATGCCTACTCCAGCTCCGTGAAGGGAAAAAAATGTCATGATATGTCACGTGATGGCAATGTGATGCCATGAGCTTGACATGTTTTATATTAAAAAAATACCTTACAGTGTTTTATATGATAATATAACTAATAAATCACTGCATTATAAATTGAAAAGCATTAAAACAAAGCTTATTAACAAGATTAAAATTTCATTATCCAAATAAACTACAGTAGAAATAAAGGGATCAATTTAAATTTGATTTGCACCAGCCATTGATATTTCATTTGTTTGATTAAATTTTCTGTTTAATTGTTGAAGGTTCTGCTTTATTTTATGCAATTTTCTTCAAAATATACATTTATGCAAAAATTATTTTGTACCAAAAGATACAAAAAAATTCATGCTGAAGGACTGCATCATTCCAAAATGTGGACTGTTCTGTTTGCATTTTTGGCAGAGGAGGAGGGGTGGTAGTGGAAAAATTAATTGTGTCATATTTCTGCTGCAATTGCTACTGACTTAGGTGATTATATAATTTAAATTTTAAGCAAATATGTAACAGATTTCTATTTCATTGTGTGATTTAGCTAGAGTTAAATTCAAAATGCACCCTCAAAAGGAATATGCTAATATGACTCTTAAAAAAACACCTATTGAAGTTCCCTTGAAGAAGCATTTCAAAAGTAGGGTTTGCATGTCATGCTAAAGCATAATAAGGTTTATTTTTTTAGTTTAGTCTAGATGCTATTTTAGAGCAGTAAAGCTTACTTTGAAACTACATTTTTGTTGGGTTAATTGTTGCAATACAGCGTTAAACAGTGATATGACAATATGGATAGATAATGTATTTATGGTTTCTTAGTTTATGTCCAGTTTATACTCCAAACTGCCCTTTAATCAATGTACTGATAAGCAAAGTGAGTCAATAGAAAATTGAGGGAAAACAAATCAAGAACTTGTTAAAAAGTCACCTGTAAGACTTATTCTACTTGTTTCTGGCTTCTTTACTAAACTATGGTTAAGGCAGATGATGGTTTAGCATGATGCATAAATACATATGAAGTCAAGGCATCACCACAAAGTATTCTTCATGCCTTTATGATGCACCTCTCTTCCAAAAGCTGCCCAAAGGAAAGTTCCTCATCTATGATTGTAATGCACAACCAAGTTGACATGGGAGGAGATATTATGAAAGAATTTGAATCCCATATTGTTAATGCCAAAGTAATTGTATTAATGCTTAAAGGGAAGAAATGTTCAGGTTAAGAATGCTGAATTTTCAGCACTCGCCACTGAAAAATAGAAATTTATATCCTATGACAAGGGGTGGGATTCAGCCGGTTCGGCCTGGTTTGGGCAAACAAGATGTTAAATTTACATCTGGTTTGCTGAACTGATAGTTGAATGACCGCTGGCCCCACCCACCCCACCCACCCCCACCCAGGAGTCTCCACACAGCCCATTTTGGGTGCAAGTAAGTGCAGGGTCCACAGCAGAGGCTCTGGGAGGGTGAAAAATGGGCCAAAACAGAAAATCTGGGCATCTGGAAACGAGCCTGTTTCCGGCTTCCGGAGGCCCTCTGGAACCCGGGGGAGGCCATTTTCGCCCTCCCAGAGGCCCAAGGGAAGCCTCCAGACTCTGGGAAAGGTGAAAAATGGCCGAACCGGAAGTTCTGCAAGTCCGGAAATGGGCCTGTTTCTGGCTTCCAGGGGCCCTCCGGAACCTGGGGGAGGCTGTTTTCACCCTTCCAAGAGGCCCGAGGGAAGCCTCCGGACTATGGGAAAGGCAAAAACCAGCCCTCCCAGAAGTTCCGGTAAGCCATGCCCACCATGGCCACATCCACCCAGCAATCAGGCAGAGAACCGGTTGCTGGGATTTTTGAATCCCACCCCCACCTATGACTGTCATCTTAAAACAACATTTTCCTTGAATGTGCTTTAAACAGATTATTCAGTTTCCTGCTCTAAAAATGAAAGCTAAGTGTTATTTCCTTACAGATGATGTTCTCTTCTGGGATTGTTCTCTAAACAAACTCTAAAGCATGAGTGTCTGATCTTGGTAACTTTAAGACCTGTGGACTTCAACCTTCAGAATTCCTCAGCCATGTTGGCTAGGGAATTTCGGTAGTTGAAGTTCACAAGTCTTGCCAAGACTCCCCTGCTCTAAAGCTTGATTTGAACTGTTTGTAGAACTGGGATTGATTCATTACACAAGAAAATGAGTTTTGTTATTTTTAAAAAAAATATTTTAAAAAAAGTCCTGAGAATTGGTCCCCTGCCATAGAAGAGGGATACTGAATCATGTTGCTGATTTGAACATATGTAAACATCCTCTGTTATTTTGGGGATTTCTTCCTTATTTGTTAAAAATAAAAAAGTATTACATAAAACTTAGAACAATGTATTATATTATAATATATCATTCAGTTATCAACTGGGCTCCCATGACTTGTAAGTTCAATGAGTTTGGGGAATTAAAAAAATTAAATTCATTATTTCTTAGCTGCATTTAATAGGCTATATGCAGTTTATTTTCAATGCGCAAAGAAAATACTTTTAAAATACTTTTTAATTTTTTCCTCCAGATGCTGAGTTGCTTAGAACATATGTATCATGATTTAGGATTGGTGAAAGACTTTAACATCAACCCTATCACAATGAAGCGGTGGCTGGTAAGTTGCCCATGGGTTTTAAACCAGAATTTAAAATATTTATAACTACAGATTTATTTGTAAGTCTGCAAAAATATATTCTTAATGTAGACTCTAGTACATGAAATTAAGATAAAAGATAGCTGAATACAAAATAACCTCTGAAAAATTAAATGCCCAAAGTAGAGTGCATACTTAATTCTTGACAACCTGACAACATTGCCAGGTTGTCTATTACAAGTACATGCCACAGGCTATTTTTAAAGACCAGGAACAAACAACTTCATTCTCTATTTGTCCCCAGTCTACCACATGTGACTTCCATTTGTATTGTTCTACTCCATGTTAATGTTTTTTAGCTATTGCTGGCTTGAGTGTTGGTGTCTGGTTAGCTTTACTTTCTTCTAAGTAGCTCCCTGCACTATGCACAGAGGTTGGGATGCTCCCTCACCTGGCTCAATGACTGCTGTCCTGCAGTTCTCAGATTCTGATGCAGTATTATAAGCAATGGTGTGCAAAGAGCATAATGATTATCACATTTGCTTAATATGCATAAGGTCACCGGTTAAAACTCAAGGGAGACATTTTTAGATTAATATTTTCCTTTTCATAAGACAGCTTAGAGAGGTCAGTGGGCATTGGCACAAGATAGCAACAGTTTAAGGGTGCAGTGCTAAAATGTTCTTAGAACGTAAGAACTGCCATGGTTCATCCAATACTGAACTCAATAGTATTTTGAGAACCTTTTCTAAAATGAAAAAAAATTAAATTATGTACCCAATAGAGTGTTGGGTGTTAGTTTACATGCTGCCTTTTAACTGTTTAGAATTTCAGTCATTATTAACCCTATCTCTGATTACAATATGTAGCAGCCCGTAAGTTCTTTTATTTGAGTTGCCTTCCTGTTCCATGTCCTAAATTAATTTTGTATTAATTATAAGCTCTAGTTTGATTTTTACACATGCACCCAATATACGCCCAGCCCCAAAATAAGTCCTAGTTAAGTCCCCACTCACTCCATTGCACCTGGCTGCATGAGGTAGGATGAGGCACACTGGTAAAAATAAAGCTAGGATCAAAATGCGCTTACGTGCAATGCCCCAGCCTCCATTTCACTGTCAGAGGCTTTCAGAAAAGGCCTCTGCGACTGAGAAACAAGCTCTGGATTGATGTGCATGGGGCTCCAGGTCTCTGTTTCACCACCAGAGGCCTTTCTGAAGGAGGCCAGGGGGCACGGCATGTGTCAATCCAGAGCTCGTTTCTTGGCTGCAGAGGCCTTTCCCAAAGGCCTCTGATTGCGAAACAGAGGTTGGGGGCACCGAGTGCAAGTGACGGCAAGAGGCCGCAGAAGAAATGGTCCAGCAGTGGCCACACAGGCTCTTGCTGGGTGGGGCTGTCGGTGCCACCATCGTGAGATGGACAGTGGAAGACACCCCCCCAAAATAAGACCTAATGCCTGTTTTGGAAGCAAAACAATTAAACCAGGTCTTATTTTCGGGGAAGCACAGTATTTCCCCAAGGTATGTGTGGATAGTATGTGGTGATTATCAGAGTGCGCACAGTATGACTCGGTAGGAAAACCCAGGAGCAAATATAGCACACAGGTTTGTATTTACATATAGTGGTTTTATTCCTACAAAAGCATATATACATACAAGTATTTTGATACAGGCCTTGAACAAACAGCAATCAGTAATCAACAGCACCATGGAAGCACACATGGAGAGAGAGATACGCCCTCACAGGGCCTCTCCTATATTACAGCCTCTTAAAGCGGTAGCAGTCAAATAACCCTGCTAACTCATTGCTACCATTGCATCATCATTACAACATTATAGCATTACAACATTAGAGCAGCTGCTCAGCTATTAAATCATCATTACCCTGACAGTAGTGCTGTATAGTGCTGTACCTCAGCCCTCAGGGAACTCCCCTCTACTAGACTCAGATGGTGCAACTCTCATTACTGAGAAGACTCTGATCCTACAGCGTTGGACTGAGCACTTCCAATCTGTACTGAACTGCCCACCTTCCATCAACAACGAGGCGATTGATAGAATGCCCCAAGCAGATATCAATCATAGCCTGGACACAGGTGGGATTCTACCGGTTCGGGCCGGTTTGAGCGAACCGATGTTAATTTTATATCCAGTTCAGTGAACTGGTAGTTCTGAAGACCAGCTGGCCCTGCCCACCCTGCCTCTCCCCTCCCAGGAGTCCCTATGAGGCTCCCTGTCTGGCTCCCAGGTAAGTGTAGGGTAGCCTCCTGGGAGCAAAAATGGGGCACGGGGGGTCCGGTGGGGCCCCCTGCACCCCATTTTTGCTCCCAGCAGGCCCCAGGGAGGATTACTAGGCCCCATTTTGGACCTAAGAGGCCTCCCTGCAGCCTCCTGGGAGCATCCAGTATGTCTGTGTTCAGTGTTTAGCCAAAAGAACATTTGGAGTTAATACAGTATTGATTACTACCTTGGGAATGGTCTAGGTAAAGAAAACTATACAGTCTCCTAAAACCGTTGGAGCTTTAAATGGCCACACCTAGAGCTTTCCTAAGGCACAAGGATTGGCTAATTACAAATGATATCCCTCCAGCCTGAACTGAATTCTTTCTTTATTCCATATCCTCCTCTTCAAAACAAGTAAGTTGCTCTGTTTTTTTCATGCCAGTGTGGTAAGTTCAGAGTGGATTTTGTAGAGAACAGCTTACCTTTAGCTCTCATTCGTTTGCTCAGTTTCAGAGCACACATTACACAATTTCCAAAGCACAATTCAGACTATTCAGCAGTTTGCCTAGCTGCTGCTTCATTACTTCTATTGCTGTTACAACCTTTATAGAGTCCCATGGCCTTTTAAATTTGACAAGCAAAAAACACAGTAAATATTTCTCACAAATATTTCCCTCTTCCACTTTGTGGTTTGATGTTTAACATACAAAATTATGTGCTGTGGCAAAATTGTGCCAAAATTCAGGAAGTTTGCAAACTTGTGTTTTTTGTTGTTAGAAGGCAACTCTTTAATTTGAAGATGGTGGTAAATTCTTGGTAATAAAATGGCAAGTAGAAAGTCTCACTTCTACTTGCCATTTAGAAAGGGTTAGAAAGAATGAGAAGATTAACCTCTGCTTTGTTTCCAATCTCCGTTTCATGACTTGGTCTTCATAAAAAGTAGCTTTGGAATTGAAGCCATATATGTTAAAACAAAATTATTTCTGTTTAAGTACAAGAATGCAAAAAGTTTCAAGATTAAACCAAGGTATTTAACAGCTTTAAATATTTGGGTGTCTTACTAAGGTTTAAGTAGAAAGAGGTTCCAGCTGAAAATATACCATGAATAGATAGAGATGCATGGTAGCTTTCTTTCTTTCTTTCTTTCTTTCTTTCTTTCTTTCTTTCTTTCTTTCTTTCTTTCTTTCTTTCTTTCTTTCTTTCTTTCTTTCTTTCTTTCTCTTAAAAGGAAGAAGAAAGAGGGAGGGATGGGAGAAAGAAAGAAAGGGAGGGAAGGGAGAAAGAGGGAAGGGAAAGGAAAGTGAATGAGATGTGGATGGATGAAAAAAGGATATAGCATACCCTCAGAAAGTCTAGTAATCCAAAAGATCTTGGATTGTGCAGAACTGGATAAACTCATCTTAAAGTTAAAAGGCAAGGAAGACTCAGAATATTGAGGAATATGCGGTATGGGAAAACTCTTATGAATGGATGGACAATAGGAATAAGGAGTGTAGAGATAAGAAGATATAGAGATGTATATGGCTAATTAGAAATGTATGGAATTGTGTATATGTAACAAAGATGCCTCAGTACTGTTAAAGATGATTGAGATGTGGAAAGAGAAAAAAAAGTGTAATAAAAATAATAATAATGATAAAAAAGAGGGATGGATGGATGGATAGAGGGAGGGAGGGAGGGAGAGAAAAAGGAGGGGAAGGAAGGACCACAAACCCTGGCACTAGACGCAGCTTCAGAGGATGCTTTGAAACAGCACAGCGATCCAGAGCTGGAAGGGACCTTGGCTCTGGCGGGATGAGTGGAGGGTCCAGTGGGGAGGCACTCACTGCCTTGGCGAGAGTTCCACCGCCGGGCAGGAGGGCCCGCCTGTCAGCTGTGCTGGGTGCCCCAGGCAAAACTCTTTGTGCTCTGCCTGGCGCCAGGCAGGGATGGCGGCTGGGCACTTCTCCCGGGGTGGGCCAATCCTGCGCTGTGGCCCTGGGAGATTCGCCTCCCCACGTGGGGTTGGGCTGCCCTCTCAGGCAGGGGAGTCTTTGTCGTACCAGTAGTAGGATGTCATTTTTAAAAGAATTGGCTTTGCCTTCGAAGGCAAAGGGAAGGCAGCGACAGGAGCGCCTGAAGCCGAGTGCCTCTTCTGGGCTCCGGTTGCAGGGAGGAGCCCTGGCTGGCCCCCATGGCTGTGTCAAACGCCGGCAGCACGGGGAGAAGGGAAGGCAACAGCGGAAGGTCTCCCGATACGAAGTGCCCCACCAACACTGAGGTCAACGCAGGTAGCACCATATCCGGATATGCAACAAAAGTACTTCCTAACGGCCAGCCCCCCTGCCATTCCCCCCCATTTCGCATGTTTAATATAGACCTTAATTTTGGGGGAGGGGCTTAATCTGATTTTGTGCCTATAAAGCATGCTTGGGCTTCCTATTGGGGGAGGCCGTATTGTTGGAGAAACACGGTAGCTACGCCCATCCAGTCACATGACCACCAAGCCATATCCGCAGAACTGGTTGTTAAAAAAATTGAATCCCACCCCTGCCTGGACACCCCACCATCAAAGACTGAAACCCTACAGGCCATCACCCAGCTGTCCAGTGGCAAGGCCCAGGATCTAACGCGATCCCAGTGGAAGTCTATAAGGATGGCAGTGCAGTGCTTGTGGACAAACGCACTCTGCTGTTTCAGTCCTTCTGGAATCAAGGATCCATTCCTCAGGAACTGAAAGATGCGTCCATCATACACTTCTACAAGAGGAAAGGGAATTGACAAGCCTGCAATAATCATAGGGGAATATCACTGCTTTCCATCACAGGCAAGATCCTTGCACGAGTGTTGCTGAACTGCCTGACTGACCACCTGGAACAGAGTCTATTACCCAAGACATAGTGCAGTTTCCACAAAGAGCGTGGCACTGTGGACATGATATTTGCAGCCTGATAGCTCCAAGAGAAGTGTCAAGAGCAGAATCGTGAATTGTACACTACCTTTTGTCTTTTGACACTTTTGACACTGTCAGTCGCAAAGGTCTGTGGCATATCATGTTGAAGTTTGGGTGCCTGGACAGATTCATCCCAATTATACATCAGTTCCATGATGGCATGACGGCTCATGTTTTGGAGGACGGAGAAGCTTCAGAGGCCTTTCCCGTTACAAACAGTGTCAGACAAGATTGCATGTTGGCACCAACTCTGTTCAGCATAATGTTTTCAGCCATGCTGTCAGCCGCCTTTCAGAACAGTTCCTTGGGAGTTAGCCTGAGATACAGGACCAATGGGAAACTGTTCAACTTCCGAAGACTCCAGGCTATCACCAAGATAAAGGAGACTGTGATACGAGACTTCCTTTTTGCTGATGACTGTGCCTTGAATGCTGGATCCGAGCAGGAAATGCAAGCCAGTGTGGACAAATGCAACAACTTCGGTCTCTTCCCCAACACAAAGAAGACCAAAGTGATGCATCCCCCAGCTCCGAAAGCCCAACACTAAAAGCCCACCATCACAGTGAAGGGACAAAAGCTGCAAGCAGTGGACCAATTTGTGTACCTTGGCAGCACCCTCTCCCACGGAATGACAATTGACATCAAGGTCAACTGCAGAATCGCCAAGGCAGGCTCTGCATATGGCAGACTTCTGACCAATGTGTGAGACTGCCATGGAATAAGCCTTGCTACAAAGCTCAAAGTCTACCAACCAGTAGTGCTAATTACCATGGTGTATGCCAGTGAGACTTGGACTGTATACAGGAGGCAGGCTAGGCAATTGAACCACTTCTACACGACCTGCCTCCGCAGACTTCTGAGGATCCGGTGACAGGACAAGGTGCCAGACACAGAAGTCCTCTCCAGAGCAGGCCTGCCATCAGTTCACACCCTGCTGATGAAAGTCCAGACACACTGGTCATGCCATGTTGCAATGATGCCAGACCATCACATCCCTAAACAGCACCTCTATGGTGAGCTGCCTCAAGGAAAGTGATTGCAAAGGGAACAAAGGAAGTGATACAAAGACATGTTGAAAGCCTCCTTTAAATCCCTGAGCATCGACACCACCTCCTGGGAAATGCTGGTACAGGATCAATCCACCAAGGCTGCCAGACATTTGAAGACAGATAAACAACCACAGCACAAGAGAAGCGAGCACTCCACTAAGCCACAGCTGCAAATGCTACAACAATGGTGCCCACACAGGTGGCAGAACATTTTGTGCCCATATAGGCCTTACCAGCCATCTGCAGACACACCGTGGACAGCCCACAACTTGTTAGATGTCAAGGTGCTCTTCGAACATGATGGATGAACATCATCATATGGTGGTGCTGGTCAGAGTGAACGTTCAGTTGAAAAGAGCAAAAATTGTTATCTATAAGACTGTGCTTTTGGCTTTGTTTCATAGCAGTGAGAGTTAGATATAGAAGAGAAATACAGAAGTTAACATCCAGGTGGCATGGGTTATTTAAGAAATGTGTGTAATAAAAGAAGAGATAGGACTAAAATGGATGAATGCAGATTAAATACAAAAGTAAAATACAAACCAAATATAACAATACAATACCAGAAAAGGGGTGGGGGGCAGGAATACAGGTTGAAGACATAGGAAAGTGTGCAAATTATATTGGTATAAATTTGTGTCTGTTTTATTTTCAGCTTTTAATGGTATTCTGGTATTCTATTTCTTACTCTTTTTCTATACTATATAATGTTACTTAATCCAAAATGGAGTAGTAGAATGGGATTATATACACACCGTATATCCAGGACAATTTTGGTGACTCCAAATGTTTATTATAATCATATTTTCAGTACTTGGTGATTGACCTTTTTCAGGATAATTCTGCATGTCAGCCCCTCCCAGAAATGGGAGGTTTATATTTTCCCCTTTCCACACCACTGCATTTACTTTACAAACTATAGAGATACATGCCAATATTTCCAGTATTTCTATCTGGCCAATTCTATGGCCTTGTTAAGCAGTTCTCTGACTTATACCAGAGATCAGCCGACTGTTATTCAGTAGAAATGCAATATGACCCAAATAATGAGTGGAAACAAGCCTGTATGTAGTAGTAATGCAAACAAAATATATTACTTTCTGTTTTATCTTTTTTTAAAGTACAAAGATAGATTAGTTATAAAATTGTAATATTCTAGAATCTAAAAGGAGGGAATAATGGCACCAAAGAGTTGGTTATTGGGATTTAGTGTCACATTCTTGTTTTCTTTCATCAGTTTTTCCTCTTTATTTTTATAGATGTGTATTCATGACAATTACAGAAACAATCCATTCCATAATTTTCGACACTGCTTCTGTGTTACCCAGATGATGTACAGCATGATCTCACTCTGCAATCTCCAGGTGTGTCTTTCTCTGGCTACTTTTATTCTTTCTTCAGTTCTTCTATCAGAAGAAAAACAGACTTCATAAAACATCATTAAATCCATTAAAATACTCCCCCCCACCCCCGCTACAACAGTATTTTGTTAACCTAATATTGAAAGACCTACTACAGAGTATCTTTTTACACATCTCTGGGATTTTGCTGAGAATAACTGATCCCAAGGTCACTTCAGTGTGTCACTTTTTTAACATTTAAGTGAAGAATTGAAAGGTCTAGTGAAAAGGGGATGGTTAATAACCCTGGCAGTTTCTTACTCTGCAGGAGACATAGGAAACTGCCTTACATTGCATCAGATCATTGGTCCTTCTAGGCCAATATTGTCAACACTGGTTGGCAACAGGAGTTCAAACAGGAGGCCTGTCTGGAGGCTGGAGGTGCCAGGAATTCACTTTCAGATCTCCATCCTGCAAAGCATGTTCCTTACTTCTGAGCCACAGCATTCTGATGCATAAATCAGTAATGGCTCAAGAAGAACCACAGGTTCGCACATTGCTGTTGCCCCCTATGAAATATAAACCAACTTAGATGAAACCTTGTCCTATTTTTTACATTAAAAAAAACCAGCATGAAATTCAAACTTAAGAGAAGTTAAGCCTCTTGATACAAGTTTCTAATGACCTTCTCCCTCCCCCCACCCCCCCAAAAAATGAAAATACTATAAGTTTAATGTGTCTTTGACTTACAGCAGAGAAAACCAAAGTATCTTGGCTTCCTCTTTCACCTAAATTCAGGGTCGCCAAAACTGCTCGAACTACTTGCACCATTCTCTTGCACCATTTCTTACACAGTACCCTCCAGATGGGTTAGGCTACAACATCCTGAATTCCTAATTTACCAACACCAAATTACTCAACATACTCTATGTCTCAAAACTGTCAGGCTCAGAGTCCAACACTTCTGGTTTAACATTTTTATTGAGTGATAAAATATTGTAAAATACAAAATACAAAAGTAAATATAAAAGTGGGGAAGGTTTGGAGGGGAAGAAAAGTGAGGAAAGATAAGAAAAGAAAAAGAAGCTTGACTTCCAACTCTCTCTGTTGCACTAAAATCAGGCATTTATATTAAATCACAGCTTTTTGCTTTTCATGCTTTTCATATGAACAAGCCATTTCTGTAAAGATCTATCAATCTACTTGGTAAAACCCAAAATCAAAGTTTCACTATTTTCCACTTCAAGCACTAAGTTCAGAAGTGGTCTCCAAGTGGAAACAAAATTACTGATGTTCTTTTCTTTAATCAAAGTAATCAATTTTGCCATTTCAGCCAACTCCATCAATTTCTGCAACCATTCGTCCATAGTAGGAATCGAAGTGTCCTTCCATTTTTGTGCAAACAATAGCCTTGCTGCTGTCAACATATATAATAACAAAGTTCCAATTTTTTTCTTGAGTTCTTTTTCCATTAGGCCCAAAAGGAAAAATTCTGGTTTCATTTTTATCTCCATTTTAAAGATTTTCTCTATTAAAATATGAATCATACTCCAAATTTTTTTCCTTTATCACAAGTCCATCATGGATGATAGAAAGTCCCTTCTTTACTTTTACACTTCCAACATTTATTTAACACTCCTTTTTGCAGCCGTTTTACAGCCGTTTCCTGTTGGGAGGGGGACTTGCAGAAGCCAAGCAAGGGGAAGCGGAAGGCAGGCAGCAATGGCTGGTCTGGCGGGCGGGCAAAAGCAGGCTGCAGGCAGCAATGTTGCACATGTGCAATAAGGACTCACTGGGCAGGGAGGGAAGGGGAGGGCAGATAGGGGCAGGGCCAGCCAGTGGTGCGATTTGCCGGTTCTCTGAACTGCGCAGAATCATAACAACCAGTTCTACCGAACCTGTCCGAACCAGTAGAATCCCACCCCTGGGCACAATGGTTAGAATGCAGTACTGCAGGCTACTTCTGCCAGCTGCCTGCAATTTAGCAGTTCAAATCTCACCAGGCTCAAGGTTGACTCAGCCTTCCATCCTTCCAAGGTTGATAAAATGAGAACCCAGATTGTTGGTGGAAATACACTGACTCTGTAAATCCCTTAGGGTGGGCTGAAAAGCACTGTGAAGTGGTATATAAGTCTAAGTGCTATCATTGCACTTAGATATATTTAATTAGTAACACAATTGTTAAATGAATCGGGCTTCCTCATTGACTTTGCTTATCAGAAAGTCGCAAAAGGTGATCACATGATCCCTGGACACTGCAACAGTCATAAATATGAGCTACTTGCCAAGCATCTAAATCAGTGGTGCACTTCAAATTTAGAGGATAAAGGTGAGTATGGGAGCCCACCCAGGTGGGCGGGTGGGTCCAACAGCAGAGCAGCGGGGAGAATTGGTTTGGTCTCCACTGCTCATCGCTGCTACCGGCTCTGCACAACCGGGCCGAACCAGTAGAATACCACCACTGAGTGTGAAAAATGGTCCTAAGTCACTTTTTTCCATGCTATTGTCACTTCGAACAGTCACTAAATAAGCTGTTGTAAGTTGAGGACTATTAAATGTAAGTTGAGGACTATTAAATGTTACCCCAAATATGTAGAATTCACATTTTCATACAGAAGTTAATTGTGTCCATTATATTTGTGGGCATAGATTTGCAACTTGAGTGGCCAATACAAGAACAATTGTGTTATCAGATGAGACTTTTGTCACACAGTAGCTGTGTTTTATTCATTGAATTTAATTAATTTAATCCAAATGTTCTTTTTTCCCAGTTGCAACACTTCCATATTTTCCCATGACTTTTTTCTCGCAGATCCAACATTTCCTTTCCATCCTGTTGTTAATTATACATCACTGCCAGACTTAGATGATTAGCTAGACTGTTGTGCCAGAAAAAAACTTGCTACAGTACATATAGCCACTAAGTGTTGACTTAACTTTGTTTTATGTTATTTCTCTGATACTTAAGTGTGCTTCTGATGTTGTAAAAGCTACATTATGCAAATAATGTACAAAGAAATTATACAACTGTATTTTCTCCCTTTTCTCTTTTAGGCAAAGATTTCCCAAATGGATATCTTAATGCTAATGACAGCATCAGTGTGTCATGATCTGGATCACCCAGGATATAATAACACGTATGTATTCTTTTGGAAGAGAGTTAAAGGAGTATAGCATCTGCTTAGGGAAATGGAATACAATTGAAAGTTTAGCATGTTAAACATGGATCTATGACCATTCATTGCATCTAACTCACCATAGCCAATTTGTCACAGTCAACTTGCTGTGACCAAGTCACCACAGGATGACTCACCATGGCCAACTCATCGTGGGACCACGCACTGCAGGACAAGAGTTACACAAACATCAAATAAATGGTGGAATGGAATCATTAAAGAAAAGATGAAAAAGGAGGGACAGAATGAAATGTGAATGACAAAATTTAAAATATTTTTAAATTTATTTTAAATAATTAAATTGAATTGTTAAATTGTCCTGCAGCAAGTTGTCCCATGGTAAGTTGGCCATGAGGAGTTGTCCTGCATCGAGTTGGCCAGGGTGAGTTGGTTGTAGCAAGTTGGCTGCAGCAAATTGGCTGTGCAATCTTATGCAACATATTTTTGCAGGAATTCCACCATAAGATCTTCCACCCAATTCCTGAGGATGCTGGCCCAAGACATTAGTGTTCTGACCTGGCCTTCGCAGAAGCAAGAAACAGATTCCTCGCAAAGAAAAACCCCTCTTTATTTACATCTTGGGAATTTATTTTATTTATTTATTTGATTTGATTTGATTTGTCAATCGCTTACAAATTATAGGTATAAGTATAAACATGAATAAGAATACAGGAAATAGGTACGAATAAATGGGGACAACAGGACAGGGTGGTAGGCATGATTGTGCACTTATGCATGCCCTTAATTAATTACCGTATATACTCGAGTATAAGTCGACCCGAATATAAGCCGAGGCACCTAATTTTACACAAAAAAACTGGGAAAACTTATTGACTCGAGTATAAGCCGAGGGTGGGAAATGCAGCAGCTACTGGTAAATTTCAAAAATAAAAATAATTAATTTGGGAAACGATCTCACTATCTCACGTCGCCTCGGGAAGGGAAAGGCAAAGCGCTTTTTGCCTTTCCCTTCCCGGCTGGAGCTGTTGGGAGTCGCTGCCGCCTGCCTTTCCCTTCCCGGCTGGGGCTGTTGGGAGTCGCTGCCGCCTGCCTTTCCCTTCCCGGCTGG